TGGGAAGAGATGACGAACGGGGAGGACATGGGAAGAAACGACGGGCAGGTCGGCCGATGATAACCGGAAACCATGTGCCTTTAGCTTAGTTGGGACACTGACGCAGGAAATGGCGTGCTACCGACTACGCTCGAGGTGCGATGATTCGCTGCCGTCGCCGACTCCATCCCACGCGTTCTGCAGCTCCTTATGAAAGGGTTAGCTTAGGTGGCTGCTGCAGTAGCAAGTTGGCGCTTGCTTCCACTGTTGTTTACAGGGCGGCCAACAAACTGGAGCGTAACGGTTAGGAAACCGCGGTTCGGTTAAGCAGCACGATCAGTCACAGGATCTTTGGAAATGTTTATGATACGTGGTAAATTGTAGCTTTGATCACTTTTTAACAAAACAGAAAGAAATATTGAACCCTAAAGGGGGATATGCGAGGGGGCGGGGATTCATGTCCTTACGCAGTGCTTCTTTAGACGGGGGGTTGCGATTAGCTATTTGGAATCCCCTAATTGCGCCTCCTTATCCCCTTGTGTCGGCATTTATGCACAAGCCGCCGTCCTTCGCGCTGGCTACCGAGAACAGAAACGCGGCCCCGATGGGCGCTCTGGCGTCACGGCGGTTAGATAAAGGGAGACCCCTCCCACTTAAGCTAAAAAGCCAGGACAATCAGAACCACTGTTCTGATTGCGATAGGGGTCTCATACACCCAACGCACACGAGAGACAAGGCTACAAGTGCACGGAGGGCACGCCACGCCGTAACATCTGGCTGAACTACGGAGGATGGGCTCATCGCAAAGTGGCTAAAAAAGAACGAATAAGGTGCTTTTGCGACCAGCAACACCCCAAAAGACAGAAAGTCTCATTACCAGATCTGCCGATCTTTCCCCTTGATCCAAGCAATACCGGTGCAAACATGCTACCTATCAAAAACAGATGTTGGACAAGAGGATAGTGTGACAAGTGGACATCGAGAGAATAAAACAAAAAGACCCGTCAATATGTTGTCTGCCTGGACATCACAGCGCGCCCGAGATGGCCCAAAAATTTTGGGTAGTCTGGGGACAGGTAGCAACGAGGTTTTACACCGCGCCGCCTGCGTGAGTCGAGACTTTTGTGGGTGTGGTCTCTACAACACAGCTCCGGACCTGCGTCCGGTGGCAGCTCGGATCAAGAGCCAGCGACCATAAGCTCGGCTTTCTTTTGGGCTCCAAGCATGTCCGCTGTTGAGGCTCTCTGCTAGCCATCACACCGAGCATGGCAGGAGCTCAGGGTGCCAGCAAGCATCAGAGCACGGGCGACCCGGCTCTGTGGCCTGGGGTCAGACTCGTCGTCGGATGGCCAGTTGGCAAACGCTAGCCGGCAGGTCCAATAGGCAGACGGACGCATTGGCTGGCAACCGCAACGTGCATTTCTATTGTGGGTCGGTTGGCAATGGTGCCAGATCTCAGCGGGGCCTGGCTCGAGACCAGAGTTTTTGTGTGAGCGCCGGGCGCCATAAACAGGGGGGTGAAAGCACAAGGAGGTAAAGAGGGAGGCAGCAGTGATTCGGGCAAATGCTGCCCGGGCACGTGTTGCCGGCCCACGTGAGGCGCCCGAGACGGCTATACGATCTGCACATGGCAGATCGGACACGGCATTGGCTCCATCCACGTCTTGTCGCCGCCCTCGATGCCCTTTCGGAGGTCCGTGATCTCCATCAGGGGCGGCGTCAGGGTCATGACGGTCTTGGCGTGGAAGAGCCACTCGTAAGGCTCCCTCTTTTTCTTGAACTTGCCCTTGCGTCCGGTCCTGCTGGCCGTATCCCATGACGGCTCGGTCGAGGTCGACTTTTTTATCGACTTCGCCTCGGGCTCCGTCGAGGTCGGCGGTGCGGTTGGCGATTCCGCCAGTCTAGCAGACTCACTATTAGGCTTGATATCCTTGACATCGACACCGTTCGACTTGACGTCGATGGACTGCTGGGCCGACACTGCTCCGCCCGACTCCTTGGGGCTCAGCGGGCGCTTGGCCTCGTCGCCGCCCTTTCCGTCTTTGAGCGTGGGCTGCGTTATGTGTGGCTTAGTTTCGCCCAGCCTTTCGTAAACCCTAATGAGCGCGTCGTGTATCAGGCAGTCGGAGTGAAGCCACTTTCCACAGCCCCCTTTCGTGTTGGAACATCCTATAAGGGTCTTATCAGGATTTGCTGGCTGGCCGCATCTGCAAACGAGCTCGACTGACTGCGCATGGGAGAAAGGCGGGTTAACATAGCCCCTGATGGCGGCGAGACGGTCAGTACGTACTGATAGCTCGGCTGTCCTCACGTCGAAAGCTTGCCGCCAGTAGAGACTGCTCTGGATGTCGTCGTCGTTATCTTCGATCATCTGGTTCACATGTGCTTGAGAAGTAACACTGACTACACTGATCATGTCCACTGCGGCCTGGTTAGCAACATGCGCGATGCCCGAGAGCTCGAGGAGGGAGGGTTGCAGGCAGATCACAACGCACTATGGTTTGAGGCGACTAATTCCATCTGGCCGTGGTATGGCTGGCGACCCTGCGGCATCTTCTTCCCGTCCAATGTGTGTGGTGGTAGCTCGTCGGGCCAGTACATCCAGTAAACCCTGGCGTAGACGTGGTGCTCGTCACTGGCCCGGATCTCGAGGATCCTCGCGACCCAATCTTCATCTGACTTCTTCAGGCCGCCTTCCTTATTACGCGGCGCCTTTTGCCGATCGAGGGACGAGTCGTTGGCCACATAGATGAAGTTTCCGCTAAAATACTTGGCGCCGTTTACTGCCGCCCGGCGCGTCGGCGCGTGTTAGAAAAAAACACGCACACATGCAAAGAAAGGGACACCATGGCAGGCCCGCACTTACGAACAAAGCTGTTATACGGCGTCATATCCGCCCACTTTTTTGCCGGCTCGACCTGGTAATGCCCGTCCATGGTGTCGTACGTCTTGAACTTACCCGTCGGCGCAAAGGGCGACGGTTGGGTCAGGGTCTTCTTGGTCTCGTCATCCTCGGCCGGCTTGCGCCGCCTTTTGGACTTTTGCTCCTCCTTGGGATCGACGAGCTTGATGGAGAAGGGGCACTCGGCGCGCGACTTGTCGGCCTCGCTGCGTGACCGCTTCTTAGAGGAGGACGTCATGGCGGGAAAGAGGGGTGGGCTTGTCCGGGGAGCTGCGCGCGGCTGGAGAGTCGACCCCCGGCTGGATCGGCGCGCGCGTCGCGGTGCCCGAAAGCGGGGAGGCTGCTCCGGCGGGGGGTAGAGTCTGCGCGGGCGAGCGAGCTGCCGGGTAAAGAAGCTGGGGGTATGCTGGTAGCTGTGTGGCGGGTGGTGTCCCCAAACCGCGCGTGTCGGAACGCCGGATGCGGGCGGGCGAGGACGCCTTGCTTGGGCAGCAGGATATGGGTTTGGCTTCGTTGTATGGGCGCGTATGCTTGGTGTTCGCGGCCGACGGGGGCGATTGATGCGACGGCGTCGCGGGGGCGGATGCGCGCCGGATGGCTTGCTGGAAGCTTGCTGGAGAGGAAGGTTAGAGAAGAGGTTGTCGGGAGTGGGCAGGTTGGTGGCGTGGGAGGAGCAGTCGCAGGAAAGGCGCGTGGCGCGCTCGGCAACAGACAGGAGACAAGGATAAATCAGGTGCGGGCAAAACTGATGGCAGGTAGTGACAAAGAAAAAAAAGTAAACAAGCGGTGTTTGCGGCTTTGCAGTTTCCCTGCGTCCCTGCGCTAACTTTTTTTTGTCTTTTTTATTCCTCTCGGGTTTCTCACGATCGATCGGCCTGCTGTCGATAGCTGGGCCGTGGGTCAACACCCAATGAAACCAGTGGAGGAATGATCTGGGCTGGGGAACCTGCTCCGCTCCAACATGCACAAATCGCTTATGCCCAATGGAACAAGGGCGTGCTCTCTCTAGCACGGTCAAGCTTTAATCTGGCCAGGTTCCCTTGCATGCCAGCAATTTAACGCGCAAACGGCACTTATAGCGAGCAGTCGAGATAAAGATTGGCAAACAGCCCACCGAGCTGCTTGATTACGTAATGCTGCTTGTATCGTGGCGGGAGGGGCTCAGGTCCGATTGGACGACACTCAATTTTGGCTGACTTACCTGCGCTACGTATACCCTCGGGTAACTAATAAATCAATTTCTCGGCGGGAAATGGGGCTGCGGGTCCAAAGTCACCAACTGTGGACTTTTGTGCCAGCCGGCCCAACTTTTTTGGGGTGGCGCCGCCGCGTTCCTAATCCAGAAAAAGGTACATGCGTGTACGTTGGAATTGTGGATACCGCATGGCGGCTGTCCGCCGACTCCAATCACACCTGACCCGCGCACGATGATAGCAACACCTGCACAGTGGAGAAAGTTGGATCCTACCACCCATGAAAGAAGCGAGCAGGCCAGGGCAGCATCAACGCCATCATGCACCCTATCGCTCCGCTTCCCCGGGCTCAATGTCTAGCTAGCAAGCGGGTTTGTCAAATAAAATAATTTGTCATTGTGCCGAACGACTGGGAGGCCGGATACGAGGTAAGTAGTCTTTTGCCGCATCGGCTGCTAGGGGGTGCTCGCTGATGCGCTCGTCATCCTCTGACTTGTCGACCTTGAAGTGCTCGGCAGGGAACGCATGCTCTATCCAGACCAGCCCGTGAAGAGCCCAGCTTGCTCTGAGCGCCAGACATTACGGGGTTGAAAAGAGTAAGGATACTGTCTCTCGCGCTCTTGGGGGGATGGCTACAGTCAAACTCTTGAGGTAATTGGGCGCCATGTTTTTGGCTGGAAACATGCCGCCTTCGGGAGTGATATGGTGAGCGGCTAGACAGCAGGTCTTGGTGGTTGCATAATAAGGGGTGCGGTGGGCGTGTGGAAATGGGTGGGAAGGGGTGCTTGCTGCGCGGCCTAATTGCCTCGCCCTACCTGGTGAGTGGCCTGGCCACCCCTAGCCGCTTTCCTACGCCTGCCCGACCGGGGGCTTATCGTGGCAAAACAGGCCATCCGCCCGAGGCCATTCACGGGCTCCACCCCGCAAGTCGTTTCCTTATATGGATCGGGTACCTCTGCTTCTGTCTGCTGGCTGCGCACACCCCCTCCCCGCTCCTGCTGCTGGGTTGGCTGTAACACGTCGCTTGCATCGACAAGGCGCTTGCTGCATTCAGGAACACACAGAAATAAACAGAACCCGACCGCCTCATCAAGTTACTAAACCCAGCCAGGGTCGTGCTGTCCGGGCTCCCTGCCCCCAGTCCCTTCATTCTTTTTCCTTTACGGGCCTCTGTGGTATGCTATGGCCTGAGGAGAGATCTTAAGGACGGACTCGGCGGATGCGGCAGCCTGTGTGAAGCGCGTTCGCCTCATTTCGACAGGAAAGAAGGTGGGCGATGTTGCCTCCCACCCACCACCACAGCATCGCA